AGCCAAGCTGGGTTTGTGTGTCACACAGTCTGTCTGCCTGTCTGCATTTAAAATGCACAAATTTATGGGGTTTTCTTTCAAACTCATTTTCACCTTTTCCCCATTCATTTTAAAATCCTGCAGTTTCAGTTATAGAGTCCTTTTTAGATGTAATGATCAGCATTTATGAAGGGCAGTTTAGGGTAGAAAAGCCTCTGAAGCATGCACTTTCGTAAGACACTGGCTTTCAGTATTTCATCACACATGTTTACTTTACTACTTGCTCATCTCAACAACCAGCTGTCTGTATTTAGTCTGCCACAGTCTCATGTGAATCAGCTTCTTCAGGTTTTCTTTACCGTTGCCGTTAATTGTTAACAGCTACTTTCCACACAAAAAACCACACAAAACATAAAACCAGATCAGGGTACCTATACACCGTTTAAGGAAGCATAACCTTGTGTATTACCCACAAGCATATTAGAATAACTCACCTAGATCACACTGAATTCAAAGCTGAATACTGTATATGACATATAATCTAAAATGTTTCTAGTCAACTGCAAAGTGAGATTATAATGAAGCAAACTTCTCATTTCTATCTGAATTTACTGACAATTTACATTGAGAGAGGCGAGTGCACATGGATGTTGGTGCATGCTATTTTAGGCACTGCATGCATCCATAAAAGCTGCTATATAGTTGAGATGCAGATGGGAAGCCAGAGGTCTTGGCCTTAAAAAAACTCACAACCTCAGCATGTTCTTTTGGCTCCTTCTTTTTCCGAACGTCTAGCTTTAATCTGCACGTCTCATCCTCGGGCACTTTTTATTTTTAAGAGCAAATCTGTGAGTAAAACGAAAGCGTGTTAATTGTAAAAACAACTGTTTTGTGTTCTGGCTTTAGGTGATTTTTGAGGCACTGGAAGGAAAAAGGCTGGATCTTTTACTATCTTTTAATCTTTTAATGATCTTTTAATATATTACGGTATATATATAAGTTAGGAGGTAAATTTATTTAGTGCCTCTACAGACAAGGTACTGAAGCCACTTGAGACCAGACAAAAACAAAGTAAAATGCAACACAAATGATAATTTAAAAGATGAGTCTTTGGTGGCTCACAGATCATAGACTTGAGGGCAAATTATAGATTGAAGGGGCACAACTGAGGTTTTAGTCTGGATTTTGGGATAGATAACAGGCCCTGATCAGAAAACCTGAGAGTCCTGCTGAGGGCATATGGCTGTAAAAGGTCACTAATATACTGTAGGTAGGTGATTCACCATGCAGAACCCTGAAGGGAGGAAAACCAGAACTTTAAATTCAATTCGGAATTGAATAGCGAGCCAGCACAGAGAGATCAACAGGAGTGTAACGTGGGAGCGCTTGGGGGATCTAGTCAAGAGCCTTGCAGCAGAGTTTTATACAATCTGCAGATGATCCATGGAGGTTTTATTGATTTGGGTCAAGATTCAGTTACAACAATTGTGCCTTAGAAGAAATAAAAGCGTGAATAAAAATCTCAGATTTTGATGTAATGGGAGCAATTTACTGATGTTTCTCAACTGATAAAAACAGGATCCAACCAGAGTTCTGACCTGCAAATCCAAGTGACAGTTTCCCTAACTGCTGATTTAATGTAGGGAGAGACTGGACCCAGATTTCAAATGATCTGAGGGACCAAGGTGGCTGGGGCATAAATAAGAATCTCAGTTAGCCGACATCCAGGACTTTACGCAGGACAGACAATATTTTTAGAATTAAAAACTTTAGTTTAGGTTTAATTCTAGGTTTAAAAGTGATGTAAAGGACAATGTCATAAAATGAACCATTAAATAAAAGCATTTAACAAATCTGATGTAAAGAAGCAATTACAAGAGAAATAAAACAGGTCACAGAAAGCAGCTCTCCAGAGCTACAGTGTGAGAGGGGGACAAATGATGACTGCAACAGATATACCCACCCAGTGCCTCAGTCTCATGATTAACACATGCTGATCAATAGTGTCAAAGGAGTCAGACCACTAGATTTGCTTGTATCCCTGCACATCAACAAGACATTTGAGACTCTGAGGAGAGCAGATTCAGTAGAGTGGGCTCAACTGAATGAATGGGCCCTAAAAATGTTTTCCTTTCACCTTTTATTTCATTTGTGAAACTACTACTTTCAATTTCTTCATTTTTTTCTTATATAACTCATTATCTTTAAATCATTCACACAGACCTTTTGGCAGAAACTCATTAGTATCTCATCTGCTGATTATTTCTAATGATCTGATTGTTTCATTTCATTATACAGTCTGCATCAATAAACTGTCCAAATATAAACATGCTTCCAATGCATTTTAAGTGGCAATCAAAACACTGAACAGTAGGACAAATGACTGTTTAAATATTAGTGTTTCTTTATCTTGATGTGCTTCCAGTAAATTTAAATCATTTTATACCATCCATATTTATACGCCTTCCCTTTAAGACTTGCCTGTATATGCAATAAAAAGCAGCAGAGAGTGGGCCATCTGCCACTGTGGCGTCTGCAATGTACTTGACCACAACTACTACCTCGTCTTTCTGCTGAATCAGTGGACAACCCAGGGAGAGCACAGGGTACACGGTGATTAAACTGAGCCCACAGCGCAGAGGAAAGCACAAATAGGGTGTGATAAACTGGCTGAATCACAACAGCACTGCCTCGTTTTTCCAATTATAACATTAACTATTGATGCAGCAGCAAAGCATGTCTGCTTAATGCCTCGCTGCACCTTCTTGGCCTTTCCTGATCATGGGTGTGGCTGTGAAGCAGGAAAGGAAAAAAAAGACACTGGAAACTGTCAGTCAAAGTGTCTGACGATTGCAGATTGAGGATCTAAGCCTGTAGTTAGCTGCAGTAAGTCAAGCTGGATGCCACTCAAACCAAATCACTGATCACTCATTTGCTTTTCTGATAGTTCTGGAGGTTTTTTTTTCCAACATAGAAACTAAATCCTGCACAAGGACACATCATAGCCAGAATAAAAGACGCCAAAATGGATATTGAAAAGGCAATCTGATGAACTCACATCTTCTAACATCTATCATTACTAACAGAAACAAAACCACATTTGAGATCACATTACATGTGAGACCACAGACTGACCGCTAACCACGCTGATATATTGTAATTTAATATCAACTGACCATCCATTATCTCTTTTTTTTTTTTACATTTTTAGTATGATGAGCATCTTAAGCTTCTCATAGTTCAAGGTGAAGGTTCAGAAGTGTTGTAAGGAAGAAAAAGATGCAAGTTAATATGTTTTAATGCCATGATTCATACAATACTGAGACATCTGCGCCACACACCAAGCAAAATTAACAGTGAGGCAGTCAAAGCAGCACAGAGTGAATGAATTATAAAAAAATATACCATCATTAGAGTTGTTAAATTGCTGTTTAAATGATGGTACTGACGTATCAATCACAAAGGAGGCCCCTCCTAAAGCACCTGCCTTATCCTCCTTTCTGACCTTAAAGGGGACCATGACTTACAAAATATTACATTTAGTAGGGAAGTATTTGAGGTCACAGAGTAAGGGAACTGAGGGCCATTCTCCCATGGACTTCTACACAATTACACATCAGTTTTCCTTTAGAAGCTATGCCCATCTATGCCAAGGATTTGAGAACTCTATGCCCGGGCAAATTGGTTTGAGAGGCCACAGCTACAGCAGAAGTATATTACAATGGTAGACTATTGTTTGAGCTAGTTTAGGTATATAATCACCTGTTCTCCTGTATTGGCAGGGAGTTTAATTTAAAATAAATAAGTGTCTCTTTTCTGGATATGGATACCAAATATTAGTCATGTTTTAACAACTTCAGACTGTCTGTCTTTGTGTGATGTTCCAGTCAAAAATCTGGACAGTTTGCTGACTATATTCATGATTTCATGATTGCAAACTACTGTCTTTCCTCGTAATTTTTATTCCCCGAACTGTAATATAAACATCCACCAACACCAAATCTGCAAAAACACTGCAAACCACCCATGATATTATTTTCTCTTAAAGCAACAAGCTCGCTTTACAAAACACATTACAAAACTGTAGCTGTCTTCTCAACTCATATAAGATAATTTCCTGATATAAAGGGTTTTGTTTGGAACAGCATTCCTCGTTACAAAAGACTCTTTTATCTTTAAATATGTAAGAATAATCTAAATGTTCTTTCTTAGAACGAGCAAAGCATTGTGCAACAGAGATCGTTTTTAATCCCAAACACAATTCTCAACACATATTTCCTAATATTTCTTGGCTGTGTGGTTTCATGACTACTTGCTTCATTTTAGGCTGACTTTCATGCTGTGTCTAGAAAATAACTGGCAGTTAAATTTCACCAAGTGGCTTTTTAAAAAAAAAAAAGCTATACAAATGAACACACGCACACACAGATGCACAAAAATTACACACAGGAAGCAGGGGTCTGCAGCATGGCGGACTGTGCTGACACAGAAAAGCTGGACCAAGCCTGCAGCCTCCACATTGACAATGCTACAACTTAACACACTGCACACACACATACTCTCTCTCTCTCTCTCTCTCTCTCTCTCTCTCTCTATATATATATATATATATATATGTCATGCACCACAGACCAGGAAGGTGATGGAGGAAAATGAGCAAAAAGGAGTGCAAAGCTAATTTTCTATAGAGACAGGCTGAAGACACAAAGCAAAGACAGCAACATAGAGAGGAAAACAGAGCGTAGCATTAAATGGCTGATGTGCTTTAAGGTGAGATATCTGTGGTGGGAGTGCGAGGGCAAGTGAAGAAAAGAGAGTGAGATGAAGAGAGGGAGGAGTGTACACGGTGTGCCGCGTGTCTCCTCTCCAGTCATGACTGAGCAGCAGCCTCACCATGACGGAGCTCCCGTTCCCATGACAACCCCGGCTGTCAGATGGAGGGAAGAGCAGAGGAGGGATGCGGGCGAGGAAGGGAGCGTTGGATGGAGATAGAAACATAAAGATGAACGTGGTTTACTTACGGGGCGTTTGCCGTTCCGTTCCGCTGCAAAGGTGTGTCTGACATGGCTGCAACACCTGCTTCTTGCGCTCCCTTTTCCTCTCTCTCCTTCCTCGTCCTCTTCTCCCACTCCTGTCCTCTAGTGTCCTTTTGACAGAGTTATGTCCTCCTCCTCCTCACCTCCTTGTCCTCCTCCCTCTTTGCCTCTGTATCTTCTCCACCTCCTCCTCTCCTCTCCTCCTCCTCTTCCTCCTCCTTCTTTCCTTCTGCCTTTTCGGTGTGTGTTCTCTATACGCCAGGATGTGTCAGAGCAGCTGCTGCCGCCGCTCCTGCATCACCCCGCTCTGCTAGCAGGAGGCAACGGGTGCAAGCATGTGCGTGTATGTGTGTGAGTGAGAGAGCGAGAAGGACATATATACACAGAAAGAGCGAGAAAGAGAATTTTGTCAAAAGATATGGTATAGGAGGGAGTGATGAAAGAAAGCAAGGACTGTTGTATAGAGATATAGCCAGGGATAGGGAGGAGAGGGTGGCAAAGAGGCAGCAGAGAGAAAGAGAGAGAAACAATGGCTTTAGGGAGTTGAAGGATAATGAAAGGAGTGGCCAGCCTGTTTTCACTAACTACCTCTTGCAAACAACCTTTTCCCTCTGAGGATGACGAGGGGTTTCTTTAAAGAGACAGGTGGGATAGTAAAAGACACTGTTTGGTCAATTTAAAAAAAGATTTCAGAAATGGAAGATTTCTGAAGGGATAAGAGTGACGGGACTGCGCTGTGTTATAACACTGATTTGAACATGACAGAACACACTGTCTTACACTGACTGGCCATTTCATTAGTTACACTTAGCTAGTACTTTCAGAGCTGCCTTAATTCTTCATGGTGCTGATTTAACAGGGTGATGGAATCATTCGTCAGAGATTTTGGTCCATATTAATGTGACAGCATCACACAGTTGCTGCAGATTTGTACATCCATGATGTGAATCTCCTGTTCCATCACATTCACGGTGCTCTGTTTGATGGAGGTTTGGTGACTGTGGACAGTGAACACATTGTCATGTTCAAGAAATGAATTTGAGATAGTTTGAGCTTTTGGACATGAAATGGATATGGTCAGAAGCAATACTCAACTAGGCTGTGGCATTTAAAGGATGCTCAGATGGTACTAAGGGCCTCTATAGTGTGGCAAGAAAATATCCCCCACACCATCTCGCCACTGATATGAGCCAGGATGGGTCCAGGGTGTCATGTTGTTTACACCAAATTTTGATCCTGCCATTAGAGTGTTCATCAGACCACACAACGTTTTTTCCAATCTTCTATTGCATACTTTTTGTGAGTCTGTGCAAACGGTACCCTCAGTTTCCTGTTCTGAGCTGACAGGGATGTCACCCAATATGGTCTTCTGCTGCTGCAACCCATCTGCTAAAGGGTTGACATGCTCTTCTGCAATACTTTGGTTGCTATCAGCCCAAGCAGTCTGACCACACTCCTCTGAAATCTAACGTTAATAAGGGATTTTCTTCCAGAGAACTGCTGCTCACTGGATATTTTCTCTTTTTCGGAGCATTTTCCTAAACATTAGCTAGGATTGAAAATCCCAGTAAATCATCAGTTTCTGAAATATTCAGACTAGTCTGGCAGCAGCAAACATGCCATGTTCAGAGTCAATTTAAATCACCTTTCTTCAATATTCTGATGCTCATTTTGAACTTCAGCAGGCCGTCATAAACATCTCTAAAATCCTAAATGTACAGAGGTGCTGTTATCAGAGTAGTTCATTCAATATTTACGTTAACAAGCAGCTGAACAGGTGTACCCAGTATGGTGGTGGTTCACTATCCAACATGCCTGAGTTTTACTGTGAGAATGCATCCAAAGCTAAAACACAACAGAAACTGAAAATGCATCCTTACCCCAGCAGCTCTCGTATCTCTTACAAGAGCCCCTCACACCAGACAATCACGTGTTAAATTATTTGTGTCATATGTGTTGAAAAAGTAAACCAAAAGTCCACAGAGATGTTTGGTATTAGATTGGATATGAAGCCTGTTTTTCTGGGTGAAAGTCCTCTAAGCTCTTCAGCCACGTACATCTATCTATGTAGACTATTTTGCTCTTACCCAGCAAGACCTGTGATTGGCTGAAATCTCCCGCCACAGGCTATATTTTATTAAGAAAAAAACCTTAGTTTATAATTTTTGCTTGGACATGTAATGACTACATTTGGGAGATTGCAGTTAGTTCCTTCAGATTTCATCTTGAGAAATGACACATCTAATACGTCAAGGAGAAGTGCAGCACACGGAAAGATAAATGTCCATTTTTCTTTCTATAACTCCAAAAATATCTAACAAAACTGTAACGTGTTCTTTAATTTGTCTTTCACTGTAACAGTTTATAAATATACACAGCTGGCAGCAGTTTCACGTGTCTAACTACAGCAGATAAGTACCACAAACAAACTGAAAACACAAAGAGGATTGTGTATCAGGTATTGAATTAACACAACATATTACAGATATTCCCAATGTAAAAGTGGTTTGTGGCTTTTTGGACCTCATCAGATAATTTTTAAACTGACTACTGGTTGCTACTGTAAGTGCAGGGTAGTGATTGCTGTTTAGTCTATGGGAACTTTTCTCAGAAAGCCGAACAAGGAGCTCAGATGTCTTTTTTATAGGCTCTATAACCTGCTGGATGCACACTTAGCAGCAATGAAAGGAAGCCAGGGAAAAGCATAATCTAATCTTTCTGGTTTCTCTTATTTCCTTCTTTTAATATTTGACCAAGTCCATGAGAACGTGCCTCACTCTGACATCTTTCATTTTTTCCTGCTGTTATTAACAAATATTTCTTCCCTTTATTAGTACACCTCTTTAACTGCCTGCTGATGCAAATATATAATCAGCCAATCACTTGGCAGCAACTCAACACATTTAGACTGAGAATGTAGACATCATCAAGATGACCTGCTGAAGTTCAACCTGAGCGTCATAATGGGGAAGACAGGTATTTTTGCACAACATATGGTCTGTAGTTGTATGTGCCAGATATTCACAGTTGTTTTTGTATTCCATAATATTCCAGACTGTTGGGAGGGTGGTGCAGATTAAAAAAAGGACACATTATAAGACTTAGGAGGTTAAATAAGTCGTAAAGCTATTTTGTATTATAGCTCAATACTGCCATAAATGTTCTTGGTCTTGAGTTTTTCGCTGTGCAGGTCATTTACCCAGCTCAAGGACAAAGTGAATATCACATTTCTTAAAGCACTGACATGTTTCACATTCCTGGTTGTCACACTTTTGTCATCACTTGTATGGTTTCTTCTCAACTCATCTGCTTCCTCACTGCTGAGCCCTCTTTCTCCCTCTGTGTCCCTTACCATCAGTTTGTGTTGAGTCCATGGTTATCGTGTTGCTTGGTATGTCAGCTATTTAGAGGCAGCTCTTTAGGTTTAGGTAGTGACCTTAAATGGGCATCACTCTTGCACCCTCCACCCTCTTTTACACACACCAACACTCAATCCCACCCTGGAGGTTGTGTTTTACTAGCGTGTGTTTGGTTATTCACGTTGCTGAGCGTAGGCAGTATATTATAATGGTAATATATAGATTTTAACATATACAGTTAATGGATTATCACTTTTTCTAATATAGAAGAAATAGTGATGCTCAGAAGTGACTCATTTATAAACTCATAGCTTTGAGAAATTAAAAGTTTTAATATTATAGGTTATTTACTGAACTCAATTTGTTTATGAGCACATTTAAGAAAAAGTTGAGACATATGAGACAGAAAATTGAATCAGTTAAATTCAAAGCACAGAAAACATAAATGGATGTGCATTAACACAACAGCATTGCGCAGAGGATTTCACAGAAGAGAGCCATATTTTCATGACAAGGCATGAAAAGGCAACAGAAAATAAAATGGTTGTTAGATATTCTACTGACGAAACTTTTAAACTCTGTATTTCAGCTAGTAGTTGTGGAGTTTGCTGAAGGGCTATGATCACCAGCTTCAGTTAAAACACGGTTTTGTGTGCAGAAGAAGTTAAATGTGTATATACATACATACATACATACATATATATATATATATATATATATATATATATATATATATATATATATATATTTAAAAAGGCCCTAGAATGGAGCCTTGAACTTGTATTGAAGATCTGTTCTAGCAGAGGGAACTCACTAAAGGACATATTACTGAATTCCAGGAGCATGTGTAGGGCACAGTGACAGACTTTGATGTCTTAAAAATAAGTCATTGTCACCCTTAGATGAACAGGGTGAGGTGAAACCTAAAACTTGACTGAAATTTGTGCAGGGTGCAGAAGAACTGATCCATTAGAGAGCAGACTAATTTAGTTTAAGTCAAATGTTAAATAACTTGTATTAACAAAAAAACAGAATCCATTTCAATGTAATATTTAAAGAAGACTGGGGGGCATGAGTTTATCTGTGAAATTTAACTGTAAAGGATGTTGAGTTCTGAGATTATGTGGCGCTAATTGTTTAATATTAGGAAACATTCATATGGAATATGTGTTGCTTCAGGATGACTTTTAAATACAGTCTGAAGCTGTGGTTATTATACCAATTACAACTCTATGGATGTGTTTGAAAATGACATTTAAAAATATATTATATATATTTTTCTCTCCATGTTTTGGCTCATTGTTGACATTTAGCAAGAGTATTAGAATCTGCCACATGTGGCTTTTTTCCATTTTCACTCTGCTCCCCTGCAGTTCTGATATTATGAGTTGTGGCCTCAGATTAGTGCTGGGACTTAACATTTTCTGCCTTTCAAAGACTGAGTAAAGAATATTGATGCAGGAGAAACTGAATATTATTATTGTTTTGTGCCTAGGCCACCAGTTAGTCACATTTGGGTTTAGTAGCATTCAATAATCAAGTGACTCATAATGTGAACTACCCTGTAATATCTTACAGTCGGACTGCATATGTAACCCAAGATGATGACGATTGCAGAGTATCTTTAAAATCATGAAGTCTACTGCCATCTTATGGATTTATAAAGCTATTAAAGCTGCTTACTTGTCCAGCAGGGATTTGTCTTCGTCCCAGGAACAAACCAGGGATCACTATGGGGCCACTATTTATAAAGCAATTCTAAAATTTTAAAAGGTGATTGA